TGAATCTTCGTTCGATTGCGAAGAACGAAGAAAGTCTGTGCTTCGTGCGAATCCGATGAAAATGAAAATCATTTGAGATACATATTCGCGAAAGAAAATATAATATAGAATCGAAATTATTCGAACATTAATCTCAGAAAATCTCTAGAGAGATTTTTTTTTTTTTACATCCGCGTTTTTAAAGCGTTTAAAAAGTTTAGAGGAGGATCCGCGTAACGATTTCGAAATGTTCGAATTTTATCCATGGAGGAAGGATATATTCGTTTATATTATGTAAAAGTATGCATTCAATCCTTCTTTTGCTAAACAAAACGTGAATATTATGAAATATATATGTATATGAAATATGATAACGCTTTGGTACATCTCTCTTTTTCTCTTTCTTCTTCTTCTTTTTCTTGTTTTATTTTATTTTATTTTATTTTTACAGAGCGAAAAGCCAAGTAGCGAAAAATAAAGGTATTTTTAATAAAGGCTAACTTTTAATTCGAAAGAAAAATATTTAGATTGGAAATATTGTATTTGTTATGAATTGAAAGTGACGTTTCCAAGTGATGCAAATCATTTATAAACTTCCGCGAGTATCATCAAATTATTGATACAAGGATTAAATTAACTCAATCGTGTCAAACGATAAATATTAATTTCCAAACCGCAACTCGCCTATCGAAAATCTTCCATCCATTTTTCCATCGTATTATTACCGATAGATCCAATCCAACACAATCATCAACACACGTTGAATTTTCCTTTTCTCATTATATATATATATATATATATATATATATNCGCAAAAACTTTTTCTATGATTCCGCTATGATTACGCAGCACTCGTGTGAATTCCCAACAATGCGCCTCGACAATGTTTTCTGTACATAGGGAAGAGACAAAAGAAGTAACAAACGAGTTTCTGTAAATTTCAATCCCTTCCAACCTCCCCCAGCCCTTAACCACCGAACAACAGACAAACGTTCACTCGTCGCCAATCCGTGGACAAAGGGGCGAACTAATAACCGTGAATCGATTTGGAAAATCGCAGGCAACAAGAAGGCACGAAACGAGCAGGGGACGAGATGGGGGCCAGTAGTTCGATCGACCGTTTGGAAGAACCCGAACCTCCCTTTCCCTCCCCCTCGTATCGATGATGGGGAGGACACGGAACGCTGACCGTTGCGAGCTTCCGGGCGAAATTGAAATTGTTCCCCGATGAATCGACCTCTCTATCGGGTCAGAATCGAGCCTAACTAACTTGTGAAACGAAAACGCGGGAGGGGAGGGGAGGGGAGGCGCGAGGAACGAAATGAAACGGCTGAAGAGGTTTGGAGCGCGGTAG